GTTGAAATATGTCAAATCACTGTTGAAGAATGTATTTTGATTGAAAAATGGGGCTCAAATAAGGGCTATATTCACACCACAATTTTTATTTCTTACAACAGATTTTAATTACAATTAAGGTTCCTAAGCTTTGCTCATTATAACATTTATGCCTCTAATAACTATTTACGTCATTCATATCCTCAAACTTTTCATTAGTTAATACATTTTGTCCAAAAGTTTGATGAAGTAGTGTAAAACAACTTATTTTCCCATCATATTGTATTTGATAAAACTTTCCTCTAAAAGCTCTTTTAATCGGACAAAAAATTTTTAGAAAATTATTCAAACATATTCAAAAGTAATTTCTTAGTTAAGAAGCAGCTTTCCAAACACACTACCAAGGATCATAATTATGTATAAATTCCTATTTGATACAATGACATGATTCATATTGTATCAACATGGTACCATAATTTATCCTTCTCTCTCTCCCAAGTCTATTTCATCTTGGTTAATTATCAACAGCATCAACTTATTTTTCTGAATATTAAATCTACTCATGGCTGAGAAGGTATGAATATTTTTAAGCTCTGTGTTTATTTCTACTTCTATTATATGAACATGGCTTTGGATTTTTCTACACAAAATATTATTCATATTTAAATTTTGAAGCTACTGCTTTTGTCTTCCACATACTATCTTCATCATTTTTTTCCCATCAGGTTACTGAGATGGTGCTAAAGGTTGATCTTGATCTCCAATGTCATTCCTGCTACAAGAAAATCAAAAAAATTCTTTGCAAAATTCCTCGTAAGTCTTTGAATTCGTCCATATTATGATTGAACAAAAACAAACATTATTCATTTTCGTGTTGTCGACTTGTTTGGATAAGAACTGACTTATTTTTTTGATGTAAAACTTGATGGGACGAAAGAAATTAGAGGGCAGATATATGATGACAAGCAAAATACAGTGACAATCGATGTAGTATGCTGTAGCCCAGAAAAAATTCGCGACAAATTGTGCTGCAAAGGTGGAAAGGTTATCAAGAGTATTGAAATAAAAGAGCCCAAAAAGAAATCAGAAGAGAAGTCCAACAAAATTCAAGAGGACAAACAACGTGACCAACCGCCTCCACCACCCGGGAATGGGCATCTACCAGCACGGACTTCTTGTGGACCATGTTCAGAAGGTCATGGTGGGGGTCAATGCTACCGTGGGTACCCATCTTTGCCGCCGTGTTACGACGGTTGTTATGGTTATGGGTACTGGTGTAGGTGTGGATGTGGGTGTGGGAGTTGGAGGGGCTGCCAGTGCCACCTGAGAAAGTGTATTTGTGTTTGTTACATAGAAGAAACCCCCTCTGCTGAATGCAAGATCATGTAACAAGTAATTTGGGATAGTTTTCCACTTTTTACCATGATTGGGTTGTCAGCAAATTTTCAGTCAATTTGAGGCATTGGTCTAAAACCTAGATGGTGACCGATGTTGGTGTCTTGGTACTATGTTTATCATGTGGGGTACCCAACTTTAAGATGAGTTGTATGAATATCACTTATCTTCAAGTTAGTACAATAATGTCATGTAACCCCCCCATCAAATTTAACGTCTAGTCAACTTATTATGTTAGTTGTGCAAGTAAATCAAAACGATTTAATTGTACCAAATTGACAATGAATAACATGAATGCAGCTTTGCTTAAAGTTGGGTGAATGGCAACGCATTTAACTTCTATGCTTATAGATTTGTCAGTTTGTTAATGACTTAGATTGATTGTATTTTTCATATATTTAACCCATGTTTGGTATAGAGTAAATCAATTTTTAGTATATTTTGATAAAAATTGATGGACCGTGTGATTGTAAAGTTGTAAATCTCATGAAATATATGATAAAATCAATTGTTAACTTTGGCTAAAATTTTAATCCAATCAAATGGGGGGTTTTATATAGTTGTGTCACAAGTTGTGCCATATATATTAAGCCCATGTTTGGTCTAGATTAGAAGTGGATTAAAATTTTAAGTCAAAATCATTAATTAATTTTAAGTTTTAACCACACACTTCATAGGATCCACATGTTTCAACCACACATTTTATCAACTAAATTTACTAAAAATTTGATTTTAAACTGCACCAAACAAAGGCTAATTTTACATAGTGATGTCAAAAAAGGTGAGAAAGTTTGGGTCCTGCCAAATTTTCTTAATGACTCGATGCTTGATAGATTTTGCTAAAATATTACAACCGAACAAACTGCAATCTTTAACAATATATTTCATAGGATTTACAACTTTCCAATTACGTATTTCATCATTTTTTGTTAAAATTTACTAAATTTTTATCAAAAGCTTTATCAAATAGCATCTTAATCTTGTTTCTCATGAAAAATATATTCTAGATGTTAGGTGCTTCAAGCCTATGTATTTGTTTGATAGAAATAAAAACGAATTTTTAGTGGATCGATTTTAATAAAACTTGATGAAATTTGTAGTTGAAAAATTGTGAATTTTGATACAATGTATGTTTAAAATTAATTATTAATTAAAATCAATATTTTAATCCCACCAAACAAGACAAAATATTTTCTTGACTTTGTTTTTACATACAAATGAAGCCTTCCTAATCTTTTAGTGACAAGTTTGTCTGTAGAGATGAGGGTTAATATTGGACGATAGAGATGGTTTTGCAAGTGTGATAGGTAGGTATTTGATCACAACCGCAGCAATAATGATATTACCAACTATTATAACTACATATTACAACTATTAACTACCTATCACACAAAAAAATAAAAAAAAAATAAAAAATTGATAAAAATTTAAGTTAAAATCAATAATTTATTTTAATTACACATTTAATGAGATACATCATTTTTATCATCTTTTTAACAATACATTTCATCAAATTTTGTTAAGATCTATGAAAAATCTGATTTTTATCAAAATGAAACGGGGGCTTAAAATCAGTTAAGAAAAGTTCTTTTTTACCATGTTTAATTCATTGAAATATTTACTGGAACTGAATTTATGGGGTTTACAGTTCCATTTTACTTGTCTATGTTTCCAATTTTGTGATAATTATTAATAGAACATTATTGATTATTAACGAGGCTCTAAAAAAATTGAAAAAATAATATTGAAAACAGATGAGTAATATAATTTTTAACTACGCCATGTTATAATTACAATGAAGGTCTTAATTTTTGTTCATTTTCGTGTTTATATCTCAAACTCCTTTTTCATTGTATTTAATCTTAACTTTATATTTATATTATTAGCACATCTTGTTCTCTTTGATGGTTAAAAAATATGTTAGGAGAAAGTAAAATAACTTATTTACTCTCTGTACTTTTAAATAAGCAAGATCAATAACAAATACGATAGTCTGACAAAATACTTTCCTCACATTAACATGATATTTGGACAAAAAAGGTTTTTGGAGATAAAGTGTTTTAATTAATTGAAATTAAACATAAAAACACATCAAAAAAGGTTGAAGATATAATTGTAAAAATAAGAAAAATTTGAGGACCTTCATTGCAATTACAATTCAATGCAGTTAAAAAGTTGTGGTATGAATATAATTACCATTTTACTTATATCTATAGGTTTTCTTCTTTTCTTTTTTATTAAATAAAGAAATTGTTGTAACGTCGGAAAATCCTGTATATCTTAGGAGGTAGTTAGGTTAACCTTCGAAAAATGAAACAACCAACTAAAATACTTCCTAATCTACAAAAATAAGATCCAATGCAAATATGCAATACAAATGACACTGCTTCAAGTCAAAGTTAAATGAGATAAATATTCAAGTCTATCAAACTTAGCCTCCATTTGGCCCTCGTTATTTCAAATTATACCTTTTGAAATAGTAACGTGTGGTTTAGGAAAAAAATTCGATTTACGCGTAATATCATTTTATAGAAGATTGTGTGATTGAAAATAAGAAAGAGAAAAATATATTTTTGGGTTAATGAGAGCCAAACGGGGCCTTACTTGAATAAAACTACATACTGTGGAATTTACTTTGAGCGAATATACAATATTTTGTTCATTTACCTATAACTAGAAGATTAATATCACGGTGGTTCGACAAAATCTTCATACATTGACTTTTTCGGAAGTCACCTTGTTGATATCCTCCTACTACAAGAAGGTAGGTCACTTGGTGGGGTTTCTTTGAGACAAAGAAACAATAATAAGGCTTTATATATATATATATATGCTTAGAATATATTTAAGAGACTATACATTTTTAAAGAGCATATTTTATATTTTAAAAAGTAGATATAAATTTAGAGATTAAAATTTTTTTAGTACTTCAACAGGCTCTTTACATTTAATACTACCAAAAATATTTATTATTTGTCCTGTGTTTTATTTTAACAAGCTTCCATCCGAATTATTATGTTGTTTTTCTCCATTAAAAATTGCAATATGTAATATCTCGAATATACATACAATATATTATGAGGCATAAATGTAAGTTTCGAGATTTTAGGGTAACTTAACAACTTTACCATTTTCTAAGGACCTTGTGTTAATATTCTTAATAATTGGATATATATGAGTTTTACATGAAATTGAATTTTAATATTATTTTGGATATATATTGAATTATTATTTAATTATCTGATATAAAACTATTTAGATAAAACTTGAAATTTGCATAAATCCACACTGGAATCTTATCCTCATCTAGTTAGAATTTTCCTAAATTTGAATTTCATAATAAATTTGTTTGTTGAAAGGTCAATTTAAATTTGAATTAAGAGTCCTATTAGAATTTTAATTAAGTAACAATCATTATCTAATGACATCTATAATTATCCTCTTGTTGTACTTTAATTCACACAAATTAAAGAAGGGAGAGAGAAAAGAAAAAGAAAAGGGGAGAGAGAGAGAGAGAGAAAGAACTAGAAAGGAGAGAGAGAGAGAAAAGAAAGGAAAAGAAAAGAAAAAGTTTTTTTGGCGCGTACGAGATTCACTTGTAGGAATTTTCACTCTTAAATAGTTTAAGTATATGAGAAATTTAACGAACAAGGTATGGATTTCTCTAAATGCTAAATGATTTTGTGTTTTCATTTTTTAATGCTATAAGATAAGTATTTTATGTGCTATTACATTATCAAAGTTAAAGAAAAATATTATGGATAATACCATGGGGTATTATTATGTAGATTTACACAGAAACTAGCCATGGGACTACATACCCTAAGTGGAGGTTGAGAATGAGTATGACTTAAAGTGAAAATGAGACGATCATGTTTCTATCTCATTAGAAAATTATGTTATGTACGTATTTTACTTTTTTTTTTTTATATATATATCAAATTGTGAAAAATACTAATATGAAATCTGTAATGAGTGTATTTATATGCTCATTCCATATTAAAAATATTTTCATATACTTGATTGATCGAAGTTAGAGATTGAGACTGCTGACAGAATTGGTGCCACTAGATCAAGAATTTTATTTTCTTTCAATATTTATTATTTAGTTTAAAATTATTTAGCAATCAGACATTTATTTTCAAAATCAATGGATTTATATTTCATTAGTGGATTGAATTTATTTGACATATTACAAGATAATAATAAAACTTATTTTATTCTGCAAAGTTCTTCAATTTTTTTGTATTACAATGTGTCAATCAACTTTTATAATAACTAAAGGAATTATTTGAATAACCTACGGAACATAGGTTTCGGGCATTATAGTATGGTATCAGAACTCAAGCAATTTTTCCTGCATACATTGTGAAATTAAAATTTTATATTTCTTTATATGTTAAAATTTTATATAAATTTTGATCCACACAACATCTAAATCGGCATGATCAACTTCTAACCACGATCTAAGGTATGAAATTACTTTAGTTTTAAAATTAACAAGTGATTGCTTGACCTTGATAAATTCTCTTTGTAAAAAGTTAAATTGTCGTATTTTATAGAAACTTCATGACTGTGCTATTTGATTTTACGGAAAAAAAATTCATTTTTTGAGTTTTCTTTATTTGCATATTTGCAGGATTGAAAGACTTAGTAAAAAAGACCTAAATTATCCAAGGCGAATTAGGGATGTAAGTGATCCACTAGTAACCCATTCATCACATGAAAACCTTTTCAATGGAACATTATTCAAATCAATAAGACGAAAAGTAATAATGAAACCCACTCTTTTATTTTATTATTATTATTTTTTTATGTAAAGCTTTAAGCAAAATTTTATTGGAAACAATACGAATATATTGAACAGAAACAACACTATTTATACTCAAGTATTATCGTTGTCAACTACATCAGGTTAGTTGAATTAACTTGAATGACCTATAATATACAATCCCTATATTTAAGGTTTAGTTAACAATTAATTTAGCAAGACAATTACCAACTACTATGCGAGGGATGTCGCAGCAAGAACCACCTCAACAGCCTTGAGATAGCCCTAGATCGTCTTTGATTATATAACAGTTTTACAAGATGCACCCACTCATGTTTGAAGGTGGCATTGATCCACTCGTGTTTGAAGGTGGCCTTGAGATAGCCCTAGATCGTCTTTGATTATATAACAGTTTTACAAGATGCACCCACTCGTGTTTGAAGGTGGCATTGATCCACTGGCTGCTGAAGAATGGCTTCACCATTTTGAGCATATCTTCAGATTTATGGAATGTACTGACGCACTAAAAATTCTTTTTACAGTATTTACG